CCAGCCCCTCCTCCCTCAGACCCAGGAATTCAAGACCCCAGCCCCTCCTCCCTCAGACCCAGGAGTCCAGGCTCCCAGCCCCTCCTCCCTCAGACCCAGGAATTCAAGACCCCAGGCCCTCCTCCCTCAGACCCAGTAGTCTAGGTCTCCAGCCCCTCCTCCCTCAGACCCAGGGGTCGGGTTCCCCAGTCCCTCCCCCTTCAGACCCAGGAGTCCAGGCACCAGCCCCTCTTCCCTCAGACCCAGGGGTCCAGTTCCTCAGCCCCTCCTCCTTCAGACCCAGGGGTCCAGGTCTCCAACTCCTCTTCCCTCAGACCCTGGAGTCCAGGCACCAGACCCTCCTCCCTCAGACCCAGGAGTCCAGGCACCAGCCCCCTTCTTAGGTCCCCAGACTTCCTGCCCCAATTTTCCCAGGGCCAGCTGAGGACCCAGCGTGGGCCTGACAGAGCATGTGACAAATGCGCTAATGCCAGGGCTCCGGACTGTCTAATGGGGCCCGTGCACCTCATTAAGATCTAGCATGGCAGGATTAAGAGGCTAATTAACGAAGACGCCCCCTCCTCCCCCTTCCCACTCTGCAGAGGGGGAGTGGGTGGATGAGCTGGGGTGCAAAGGGGAGGTCCTGCCTCTGCCACTTCCTTCTCTGTCCTTACCTGGGACACCCCCTTGGGGCCCTGACACGTTCTGTCCAGAAAACCAAGGTGGGGAGAGCAGAGAGACACCCAAAACCAGAGATGAGGAGCCTCAGAGTTGGGGGACCCCAGGGAGGAACAAAGATGGCAGCAAGAGGGAAGCAGTGATCCCAACTGGGGGTTCTGGGGGCCTGCACCCCTGCTTGGGACTGGGGTGGGTGGCTGCAGAAGCCTCCTCCATCAGAGGTCATGAGGAGGTGGGAGCAAGGGATGGGGCTCAGGTGGGGACAGGAGGTCAGGTGTGGAGGAAGTGGGGTGGCAGAGGAACCTGTAGAGCCAGATGCCCACAGGCATTTCCTGCCCATGGCCACATCCCTCTACCTGGCCCAGGTAAGCTCAGCACTGAGCTGATGATCAGTATCATTCACCAGTGAGCGCTTTCTTTCTCTTTCTTTCTCTTTTTCTTTCTTTCTTTCTCTTTCTTTCTCTCTCTCTTCTTTCTTTCTTTCTCTTTCTTTTTCTTTCTTTCTTTCCTTCTTTCCTTCCTTC